CTGTGTGGGAAAAAGAAAAGTTCTTTCAGGTCTAAATGCATAAAGGTATGTCATATCAGACAGTTTTGGAAAAACACCCTTGGCAGTAAAATATACCTTCAAATGTATTTTTTAAAAAAAGATTCTCTATAGAGTCAATATATCAGCTAGGCCTTGTTGAATTGCAAGTGACAGAAAGCCCAACAGAAACTTGCTAAAGGAAAAAAAATTATGGTTCCAAATAAGAGAAGGGTCAAGGGATGAGTTTTGTTTAAGGCAACACTAGAATCAAGATTCAAGTAATCTTCTAAAAATAAACTTTTTAAGAATAGTTTTAGGTTTACCAAGGAGTTGCAAAGGTCGTATAGAAAGTCCTCATATAGCCACATCCAGTTTCCCTTATTATCAATATCTTACATTAATATGGCACATTTTTATCACATTATTGAAGCAATATTGATACATTATTATTAAAGTCCAAACTTTATTCAGATGTTCTTAGTTTTTACCTAATGTCCATATGTTGTTCTAGGATCCCACATTACATTTAATCATCGGCCTCCTTAGGAGCTTCTTGGCTCACACTTTCTCTGTTTTTCATGATGCTGACTGTTTTGAGTGATGCCAGTAAGGTATTTTGTAGACTGTTCCTCAGTTGAGATTTATTTCACGTTTTTCTCATGACTAGTCTGGGTTTATGGGTTTCTGAGGTAGTGTTTGTCAGGTTGCTCCACTGTAAATTAATTTTTTCCCCCACTTTCCATATTCTACTCTTTAGAAGAAAGTCATCGTCATGTGCAGTGCACCCTTAAGGAGTGGTGAGTTATGCTCCATTCCTTGAATGTGGTGTATCTACATCCATTATTTGGAATTCTTCTTCACAGGAGATGTGTCCATTCTCTTCTATTTATTTATTTATTTATGAAATCATTTCTTTATATCAGTATGAAATTATAGATGTTTATTTTATACTTTGGGTTATTTTCCAATACTACTTTATTAATTTTGTTGCTCAAATTGTTCTAGCTTTGTACATTTTGGGGAGCTCTTTCACTTAGCTACTGTGTCCTTTTGCTATACCTCGTTTTCGTGGGATTTTTAGTTGGGGGGCACTTTTTTACTTTCTGGCACTGTAAGATGTTCCAGTCTTGTACATTCCCAGACCAGCCCTATATCCAGCCTTTTCTCCATTGGCTCTTCTTTTTATTGGAAAATGGTATAATAAACCAAGATCTGGGTGGTAGGTCTGGTCATTGCTTATGGGGGTGTTTTTGCTTCTAGACCCTATCAGCTGACAGAGCAAGAAAATATATACATATATACTAGAGGTTCAAGTGACTTTATCTGGACTCAGGTTTTCTGTTTCTTTCACCTCGGTCCTCCATTTTTACTCAAGTCTTAGATAGAAATTTTCTTCATGTTTGCAAAGTGACTAGCAACTCTAGAACTTAAATCCCAAGGGATGAAATTAATCCTTTTGCCAGAATCTCCAATTTCCCACCATGCCTCATTGGCTCTTCTTAGGTCACATGCCAACTTGGCAGCTGATCACTGTAGCCAAGAGAAATGAAATCTTATTATGCTAAGCTTGGGTCATGTGCTCATCACTAAAGTCAGAGGATTGATCCTATTTGAACTACATGGGCTAAGAAAACAAGAGATATGAATTTGTGAACAGTTGTTAGTGAAAAAAAGGGAAAATATAGCTGTATGGCTGACCACGGTCAATTACCACTACTTCTATGAATTCTGAAATTCTAAAACTGGCTACCACTTATTGTGAGCTTTTGAAAGAAAATAAGATAGTTACTTTCATAAAAAGATGCATCAGTATATGGCTTGGGCTCTATTGGTAGCAAATGAACACTCAACTTCTGAAAATTGAATAGTAATTTACTATAACTTTACATATGAATATTTTCTCCTTTGAAACTATAAATGTGAAGAGTAAATCCATTGTCAGATTCTTTTCTGGTTTTGCTTTTAAAAATAATTTCACTTTTACAATAATGGAGCATTTAGTCTGGGAGGAAATAAAAACTGTTGACTTTTGTGGTTGTTGCTTCATTTTGACTGTCTCCATTGGTTTTCTTTATTTACCTCTTTCAGGAGCATATTCAAAGGGAAACTAGATGGCTTGCTGTTCATTTATCAAAATGTTAAGGCAATTTTCTTTTTTTTTTACACTTAAAATATTGTAAGATATTTTTAAAAGTAAGGACTATAGAATGGAAGGACTATAGGATAGCATTATAACTGAAACCACTACTGTGATCTGAAGTTTTTGCTTTTTCTTAGTAAGGTTTTCACACTTCTTTTAAATAAAACCAGCAATTAATGGAACAAGAATTCCAATGTAAAAGGATTATTTTCAAATTCATCCATTGCAAAGACATACTGGTTTTAAGATATTAGCAATCACTACAGGAGGTTGCATCCCAATTTTTATCTGAAGGAAATTATTGGTTCTGTTTGTATTTGTTAAGATTACTTTTGCTTTTATTTAATTGCTTTTAAAAAATATTACTCATCCATTGTAGAAATCTAAAGGTTTACAAAGTAAGATATTAAAGACACTACTAATTTGAATTTTTAAATGCACTGCTGCTCTGGTCCTGTGAAACGTGTTTAAATTGTAGGGAAGCCAAAAACATCTTGGGTGACATCTAAATTTGAACGTCATGAAATGGATGTAATCAAATTGATAGTTCTGAGTTAAAACTTTGGTTATTTGTAACACTTAGAAAATGAGACTTCCAGAATTAAAAAAACATTTTTTTGAGGAGTGGAGTAATGATACCTCTTTAAGTTATGACTTTTTTTTTTTTAGCTCTTCTGACAAGAATCTTTTCCACTTCTTCTCTGCCTTAAATGGTGGATACTAGTCATAATTTATTTGTTTTCTTATGACTCTTAATATCTCCGTTTTTGAATTCTGGACATTTCTAAAAATATTTAAGTTTTGTCTTAAAAAATTTTCTATATATTTAAGTTCCTTATAAATATAATATCCAAGTTGAGACTGGCGTATTCTCTCAATAATTTAAGTAAATTTTACTGACATTTATTGAAAATATTTAATATACTGGACATTTTTTGGGGGGCGGGGCAACTTTATTTGCATTTAATAGTGATTTTTAAGCCCTATATCCAATGAAACCATTTTAAAAAGCTCTATGAGGAATGGAAATTTAGATGTCTATTACACTTTAAAGAAAAAAACTCAAATTTCTGAATGAGCAAGATTCACTTTTGTAGGTAGAGGCTTTGCTTCTTCATGATCTTCAGTGCTTCTTACATATTTTATTTCATTTAATCTATATTTTAGTAAGGTGGATATTAAAGTCTCTGTTTTAGAGAAGAGGAAACTAAGGCTCTCAGAGCTTAAGTTACCTAAGGTCATACAGAAGTGCCAGGATTCAAACCTATCTGTAGAACATGACATACTACCTCTAAAAATTAAGAGAAGAGCTGTTATAACAGACAAAAAAATCAAAGTATACGTTAATTGTTCAGAGACACCCTCCTCTATGGTTCTCTCACGTTTCTACATTTCTTGCTGAGTGTGCAAGGCCCTGACACTCCTCACCCAGGTCATATCTCAGGCTTGTGCTTACAGGAAACAACCTTGAGGGATGAGGAAATTCCTCCCTTTGGAAGGAAGATCAGGCTTTTGAGAAAAGCAGTGGATACCCCAATTTCAGAGTTCCCTGAATTTTCAGCCCCTTATAATTCTTCCTTGCATCTTAAAGAGCACTCGGGATATGTTTGATATGAGAAGTCAATGACAAGGAGTAAGTTATTAAAAGAATAAATACTACTAGGGATGAATTCTCTAACTATTACATCTAATTGTGATGTTTGAGTACGCTAAAAGAAAAATCCCAAAACAAAACCAAACAATTAAGTACAAATAACAGCTATTTCTTAGTGTCTACCATGTGGCTGGTGAGTTCTCAACTCTTTATGTTGTTTTACCTCTTGCAACAATACTTTGAGGTAGGTAATAATATCCCCATTTTAAAAATGAGGAAACTGGGGCCTTAAGTGGAGGCATTACATTAAGTGGTTTGCCCAAGGTTTCATAGCTAGTAATGGTGGAGCCAGGCTCTGAATGCAGCCTCTCTGGTTCCAGCATTGAAGCTCTTAATCACCTCATTAGAAGTTGCCACTATGTTTCTTTTGGAAATAAATGGGAATTTTTATAATGAGGTGCTGTTTGGCATCCAATATTCATTAGAATGTAGGATGAAAAAGAATCCGTAAATAAAAGGGCCCTGTAGATGGTTCTGATACATACACAATATAAACCCGAGGAAGATTCTGTCATAGCAAAAGGACTGCACATGACTGGGCAAATATCATTTATTATACATTATGTTAGGACAATTCGTACCTCAAAATTCTTATGGAAATGGCTTTACTTTGGTAAGAATCAACGTTACAACTACAATTCCAAGTCCCAGAGTATAAAACCAAAGAGAAAACAGACGTCCAGATAAATATTTTGAATGAGTATGAGAATGGAATTGGCTAGGGTGACCATCCTAGTTCTTTATTGGTAGTTCCCCTGGGCCAATCTCTCAGTTATGATTTCTAGGACTTTTTTTTTCTACAGGTACTGAGTATCTTCCTCTTTTCCATTAGTTTTCCCTGGGGACAACTAGGACTCTATACACATACCTAAAAATCTGGGGACTGATGATTGGCATGTAAGAACCAACAGAAAGACAATTTAGAGAAGAAAACAAAGTGAAAAACAAATGCTAGGGTCAAAACTGAAGAAAACCAAGCCATCTCAGTAAGAAAAGGTGTGCAAACCAAGCCCATTGCTTCATTTTATCTCGTCCAGTTCAGGAACTGCATCCCGAGGGCTCAGGGTAACTAGGCAACGAGGTTGCCCCAGTAACGTAGGAAGCGAGGAGGACTTCCCCATTTAGGGCTCGGGGCAGCCCTTCCGGGCCCGGAGCCCGCGCGGTGGGAGGGGTGAAGGATGCCAGGCTCTCGCGAGAGCTGCGTGTGTGTTCGTACTGAAGCGTCTTCGCGGTTGCCCTTAGGGACGCGGTGCGGTAGCCAGGGGCAGGCTCACGGAGCGCTTCAGATGGCTTCTCAGAAAGGGATGCCCTCCTCGGCCCTGCGGGTTCTGGAAGAAGCGTTGGGCATGGGCTCGACGGCTGCCGGGGACACCGCGGAAGCGGTGGCCGCCGAGGGCGCCTACTACCTGGAGCGTATCCTTCCCAAGTAGGCGCGGCACCCAGACGCTGGCCGCGGTAACGGGTGTTGGGGGCGAGGGCGGGGGCTTCCCGCTCTGGGTGCCCTGTGAAGCTTGCGGTCACCCAGCCGGTAGAGATGCCCATTGGACCTCTAGGTGGTTTCAACGCCACCGCGACCCCCTGATACCTACCCACTGTAATTTTTCGCCTTGTAGTAGTTGTAGGCTGATGTGTTCCTGTTGGAAAAAGTTAGTAGTCACCGCTCAGTAAACTTTGCAATTTTATTTTAAAGTAGCACAACAAATTAATCCAACCCTCCTTTACCTCAGGGGTTTTCTTAAGCCCGCAAACCTTCGGAATGCCGTGAAAATAAATCCGTAGGGTAACATCAGGAGGTTAAGGAAAAGACCGCTACCTCTAGGCTTTAAGGAGAGGAAGGAGGAAGCTCAGAATATCCAGCTGGATCCTGTAGATGGTCCAGTTGTCTAATGCTTAAGTGATTTGTTTTGGTAGCATCTACTTACTGGGTAGTTTCAATCTGGGCTACTTAATGATAAAAATAGCACCACCCCGCCCCCCCTCCGCCTTTAGCAACTAAATGGTAACCTCGTGACCTGACGAGGCTCAGAGATGTTAGGAAGAAACATCAGACAGTGATGAGCGATTATCATTGGAAATACCCAGAAAAATTGAATAGCCATATGTGGATAATTAGGTTCACTATTTCTTGTGTAAAGCTTTTGAGCTCCCCTTCTCTAAATTAATGGTACTGAGGAGAGGGGGAGGGTTCCTGAGAAAAAGATAACTACTCCATTCTTCAGGCAGATAGGAGAGAGATGGGTAATCTGTTTTATTCTTAAAGGTATCAAGGAAACTGCAAAATCTACCTTATTTTTTTGTCCAAATATAATCCCCCCGGATTTAATTCAAGATTCCAGAGATCCAGCAATGATTCATTTTATAGGCTTTTAAACTGATTAACCTGTCCTGACTCAGGCCCAGTATACATCCCTGCTACAGGGAGCTTTGAAGAACTTGGTTGAAAAGCTCAAAGAAAATATATAGTATTTCATTCAGTGCAAACATGATTTTTACAGGAATATGTTCGAATAGTTTGAAATAAATTTGAATGAAATATGTGGGTGCTCTAGTGTCTTAAGTGAGGTTTTATACTCTGTTTTCCTAGCTCTTAACAAGCTGTCTTTTCCAGTAATCTTCCTTTTTAAATTCAAAAACAATTCAATGACTCTTTCAGCGCTAATCTACATCAAAGTATAAAGTTATCCAATGCCCATACTAGTGATAACCAGGCATCTTATATCTGTCAGCATTAAAATGATTTCTATCACAATAGTTTATATCACTGCTTTTAATTTTTTTTTAACATCTTTATTGGGGTATAATTGCTTTACAACGGTGAGTTAATTTCTGCTCTATAACAAAGTGAATAAAAATATGGAATGCTTCACGAATTTGCGTGTCATCCTTGTGCAGGGGCCATGCTAATCTCTGTATCGTTCCAATTTTAGTTTATGTGCTGCCGAAGCGAGCACACTGCTTTTAATTTTTAAACTTGTATAGGGCGAGATGCAAACTTAGACGACATAGTTCTTATCTTACTTAGCTATCTCCAGAACTTTAAGAAATCTAATCATGGAATGTATGAATCCTCTAGTGAACTCTTTTTTAGAAAGATATTTGCAGCTTTGTAAAATATAAGGCTAGATTTTAACTATGTGATCTGTAAACGGGCAAGTAGGTATCTCTAGTAATTGTAAAGAAGATTGGTCATCTTTCGTTAATGAATGCTCTATTAAAAATCAATACAACTTGAGAGAGGTTTTCGCTCATAGTAGTGATCAGGGGTTGCCTTTTAATGTGTGGCTACAGACAGAGTGCCTATTCTAGCTGAGAGATGCAGGCTGGAATGAATTGTATTAAGAAAGCTAATGTTTAATTGATTTTTTTGCTACTTGTCTAAAGAAAGACCTTATTCAAGGAAGAGTAATGAAATGCATGGACTCCAGGGAAGTAGAGCCCCCAAAGTAATATTGTTTTTGTTACCTACCTCTCTTTGTGCTGATTCTCTGATCCCCTAACTGGCTTTTGATTATTATTTTAACTTTCTAGACATTTTAACGCTAAGAATTTGAGAATTTGCTGACCCCTGAAAAGGCCTCCTTTGGCCCCAACAGCAGTCTGTGAGGGTTGACTGAGTTTAAGCCTGTCCTTTGAGGCTAACCAACTCTGGATGCAGTCCCAAAGTCAACTGTTTCAAAAATGCAAATTAAGGATTCCAGACCCTGAAATATGGTGATCACACTAAACCAATACCCCATCTAAGATGCATACTTTTCTTCTTAAGTAATATCCTTAGCCAGTATCTCACTGCAGTGGTAATGTTTACTGATAACTTTGTTTAATTAAAACAGAACTTTTGTTATTTTTAAAAGTTATTTTGTTATTTACTGCTTTTAACACTTAGTTATTTTTCCTCTAAGATGTTACCTCTCTGGAATATTTATAGTATTAAGTAAGAAAATATTAGTAAAATCCTTAATAATCATTATGTTCTCAAGTAGTGTATTTCATATTATCATTGGAAAACTGGATTTGCTCATGGGTGCTTAATTGCATCCTACATATATTCAAATAAAAAGGATAGACAGTTTGAATGTAGAGTGTAGAGGCATGTTACTAAACCTGGAGTGCTGAATTCTACATGCACAGAAGTCATAGATTATTTGGAGAGAAAAATATTATATTTTGTTCTGTGTCTTCTAGACTAGGCAGATGTTACTGTGTATATGAATCCAAGATATGGATCTTGAAATGAAGATTCTAATTCAGTAAGTGCGGGTTTCAGGGGTTGAGATCCTGCATCATTAACAGGCTTCCAGGTGCTGCTGGTGTGGCTGATCTAAGGACTATAATTGGAGTAGCAAGGCTGTAGACAAATATCTTAACCTCTAGCCTTTATGTTTTCAGATAGAGGTATAATATATAGACCCCATATCTTTGGGTCTCCTGGTTTAGAAGTTGGAAAAACTTACACCGCCATCCCCTATGAGAACCTTATACGTTGAACGAAAATTATTTTCCAGGTTCTGAGGCAGAAGATAGGCAACAGCTGTCTTAGGCAGGAGTGGCCAATAAATTTCCACATTTGCCAATTCTATTGAATTGGTAGTGGTTCCATAGCATGTGGTATTAAGACTTGGTAGGAAAGACTGAAGGAAGCAAACAGCAATGGGAATTATGACAGCAAGTGTGCCAGTTATTTGCCACCTTTGGTCTATTTTCAGTTAACTTACTTTATTTAAACTGGCTTTCCTAAGAAAGGGGACATGACTATAATGTTTGATATTTACAATACATTTCTTTTATTTCAATTTAGTGAGTAAAATGTTGATCATGGAGGATACAGGCTAGACTTTAGATTGCCTTTGTGTACGTTGATTCTGCAGTGATATCAAAGATTACAAAGCAATTTCTGTCTATATCAGCTTTGGGAAATCATGTAAAATATAATTAGCTTTATGTTTCACTCCAGTTCTTTATAAAGCTGGTGCTACTGGCAGTGATCACTACCTACAGATGCAGTAGTGGAGGAGACCAGTGTGTGAGGAACTTTGTATGCTGCTCTCATCTGAAAATTGTTCATTTCTTTCTGGCTGTGGTCCATTTGCACAACCTTGTTTGTGACCCCATCATACCAACTGTCACATCAAACTCTGCTCCATTAGGCCAGCTGAAATGCTTCTCTGAAGCTTCTTGCAGTTGTATCTTCTGTAGTACTCGGTGGATTTAGGGCTTCATGGCAGTTTCAGTGTGGGTGTATATTGGCCTATTTTCTGACAAGATCTGCAAGGTCAGGATCTGGTGCAGATTCTGTTCATGTAGAAACTACTAGTTCACTGGTGGTGATGAAGTACCAGGGAACTAATTCATAGTATGCAAACTCACAAGTACTACTAAATTCCTTCCAGAGCAAGTGGAGATATGGAGAATGACCCTTAGTCTGAGACCAGGCCATGACTATAGGATATAGTACCTGGCCTGGAAGGGGGTGGTGCTGTGGACTGTGGGTGCAGGCCAGGGAGGAAAGAGGGCCACAGATAGTACCCTGGGCAAGATCAGACTAGAAAACCAGGCACAAAATTGTCAAGTCAAGCTCAAGCTCTAGAAATGCAGGACCAGATCTGAGTGGAATAGTCAGAGTAGAAAAAAAAGAATTTTGGAACTGGAGTTCAATGATGTTTTTTGAAGGAAAACTAGGCAGGTAATGGGAAGGGAGTTTTGTAGGGCCTCAGAGTCAGCTTGGCAAGAAGAAACTGATATTAAGCCAGCATGCCAGTTTATTATTCTGCAGTGGAAAAATAACTTTGTATGAAAATTGTGACCAGCTTAATTGTATGGATATTTCCTGGAGAATAGGATCACCTAAGAGATTAGATTACAGATGAGAAAGTTGCCCAGTAAAAGTAGAATCAAAATTAAAGGTTTTATTTTTCAGGCAATTCTTGACAAACTGTGCATTTCTACCCTACCAATATTGCTTCTAAAGCAGTGCTTTCCAACCTTTTTCACACACGATGCACCATCAGATCCTGCTTCACTCTCTCTTTCTGGCTGTCCCAAGGGCCAAGGGGATCAATATCTGTACAGTCCAAAGTTTTCTGTTTATGAAAACCTAAGAGCGTGATTTCTCTCAGGCGTCAGAATCAGAGACTGCTGTACATCTGCTGAGAAACTCATCTGTTTTCATTGGATGGATACTGAATTGGTATCTGATTACATTTCCCTTTTTACCCTGACTGCTGGGAAGCTTAGAGTCAAACCTGTGGCATATAACAAAGTTCATGAGACCTTATGGCCTGTACTGTACCTTCTACTGTTTCCCTTTCTCTGCTAATTTCCATATTCATTTATTTTTTTCTCCCTGTAGCTGTATGCATGTCTGTAAACTGCCACAGAATTGTTTTGGGATTTGTTTGTGCATTTGTCCATGTGTTGCCAGCCGGCTAGCCAGCTAGACAGATACATGCGAAAGTACATTTCCTTCTTTAGTAATGCTGCAACATCACATTTCAACTAAGTTGCTTCTGAGAAGGAAAATTTTCTGTTCACATCATATTGTGGGTACTAACAGTATCAATTAAGGAGGATCCTGATTCCTGTTTTGGGTATTTGTACTCTTCCTGATCTTTTGTTTGGTTAATCTCTTGCCCTTGGTTTATTGAATCTTTGGGTCGATAGCCCTGTAGCTCTTTTATATTTCTCCTTCCTTTAGGGTCTTCAGACTGAGCTGTTTAAAGGATTTGATTTATCTGTTTGTAATATGACACTTGAGAGTTTGGAAAACAAATAGGTGAGAATTCATTACTGAGGATATTGGTAAAAATTGCACATTGCTATTGTGTCACTGTAGAAACAGCACGGTGTAGTTGAAAATTCATGGTATTTATATTTAAGACACTTGTCTTTGTCACTCATATCTTTGATTTTGGCCAAATCTATTCATCTTCCTGACTTAGTTTCCTTTATTTTTTTTCAATTTAGAGATTACTGTATCTGTGCCATTCAATCTCACAGGGTTTTAAGAGTACCTATGGTTATGATCCATGTGACAATACTTTTTAAACTTTATAAAATGGTAGTTATTTTTCTCTTACTCTTTTTTGATTATGGGAAACAATATATTATTAGTGGTTATAATCCATTCCCTAGAATATTTTTTTTTTGGTAGCAGTATACAAGTGTTGTTTTATATTTCCAAAGCTTTGAGGACAAATCACCTTTTCCTCTATAGAGCCATGTTCAAGAAGCTTTGCTTTGACGTTTCTTCCTCACAATAAATAAGCAGTTGGCTTATTTACAATTATAAACTCTATCCAGATCATTTTAGAATGTTAACTTCTTTGTGAAATTTATTATGGTGTAAGCAGTGATGAAGGATAGCATTACTTTTCTGGAGACTTACAGGCAAGTGACTGCCTACAAAATCAGCTTCTAATAGTTGTTTCTCAGAAGGGAACATATTTTTCCATAAAAAAGAGGCTGAACTTCCTGTAGCTGAACCTAAGGAAATTTTATATCATTAAGTGAACATGTGTCAGAAAAATATAAATCTAGAAAAGGAGGAAGATTCAGAATGTCTTTTATGTATCCATTCATCTTAACACTAGATCATGGGAGACTTAGGAGACTTCTCCACAGGTACTCATCTCTTTCCAGAACAGGGAAAATAACAACAAACACTTGTATAGTATTTATTATAAGCCAGGCACCATTCTAAATGATTTACATATGTTAATTTGTGTTAACAAGAGAGGTAGTATAGTATAGTGAAACCTAAGCTTCTGGGGCTGATTCCCAACTCTGTTAGGTCCTGATTGTGTAACTGTGCATTTGAGTCCTGATCTGTAAAACAGAGATAATAATAGTTCAGCCTCATTGGTAGGATGAGGATGAAATGAGTTAATACATGTAAAACCCTTAGGACAGTGCCTGGCTCCTGTTAAATACTATGTGTGTGTTATCAGTTCTTATTACAAACAACAGAAGTTGTTATACACACCGTCAGGTTACTCTTGCAGGATGGGATGATAGAGAAATTTCTTATAACCAGCAGCAAAATGAAAACTAGGCTAATCTAATCTTTGATTTTCATAACCATTGCTGTGCACTGAAGTGTTTAATTTTATACCTTTTAAACTTGGCCTAATAAAGTCTGTGCATTTGAAAAAAAATGTAAACCTACTGACCAATCAACAAAATAGCATTACTGGCGTGTATTTTGATTTCTTTTAAGATTAAATGTTGTCTTGAAGTTTTCATTTGTAATTAGACTAACTTGTAATTTTTGAAGGTCTTAGAGCAATGCTGTTAGAATTTTTTATTAGAATCATTTCCACTGATATTTTAATGCTGATATATCTTGATAATTTATGAACTGCTGAGTTATGATTATTAAGTAGTTTATATTTGCTTAAACATTAGGCTGTCTTTTCTGAGAAGATAATTTTAAAATTGAGATATGTAAGAAAGAGAGTGGAGGTGTAAGTATCTTTTATTGATAAAAACATTGAAATCTATATTTTACTTATATTTAAATCTTAGTGTGCTTTGCTTTTTTCGTTCACAATACTTTAAACCAAATAAAGAAGTCACACTGCATTGTGAATGACTAAGAAACTCCGGAAAATTCACTGTGGTTTGAGATGTGTTTGAAAATTTACTGTCATAGTTTTCCTGTCCATCATTTTTCTTATCTCTTTCTAATTTATGTTATGATACCATGTACATTTTTGTAAGCCTTCTTAGAATCAAATTGGAAATCATTAGATAGTAAATAGATTAAAAATATAGTTTTTCATGAGTTTGGGTTGTTTGAATAATAATTTAAAATAACAAGATATTTTGTCTTAAAACATCTATAAATGTAGGCTGTATGAGGAAGAGAAATTTTAAAAAATAGCTTAATTTACGTGTATTTACTAACTTGGTGAGATACTTGGATATAGTACTGTATTTTAAGGTTATCTCAATTTTGAAATATAATAATTTTATTCCATTATTTTGAGATTCAGACTTAACAGTACCTTTAGAGGTCACCATAACTGAAGCATCTGAAGATGATTATGAATATGAAGAGGTAATTTGTTCATTTTACGTATTCTATAAATTCATTACAGTTATTCCTGTGAAATATTCACTTTATTTTTCTTAAAAAATTTTTTTCTTAAGTGATGCTACTTTTTCAACTGAATTTAGCTAATCAGCTGGTTAAGAGTGAGGTTTGAAAATTCTATTTAAAAATTTAGATTGGTTAACACATCTGGCTCTTTTGATTATCTTGTTAATTGTCCTTCAGAGTCAGCTTCTCATCACCTGCCTTGTGGATCCACACTATAGTCTGTCGTCTCTGTCCAGTAGGTGTTCTCAATCATCCAGTCTAGGTTTCCCAGATTCCTGCTACCTAGCTGGAGCTCAGATCCTATGGTTCCCTTCAACTTAGCAATACTTTAGTCTAATATAGTTACTGTCTCAAACCTGTCCTTTAATTCATTGTTCCAAGGGAACCTATCATTACATCTGAGACTTGGAAGGCAGAGTCACTCCAAGATGACAGAAGCTGTGAATGAAACTGTGGAAGCAAGCCTGGCATTTGTGGCCAGGCAAACAGGAGACAGGACAAACACAGAAGATAGGCTTTGTATTACTACTGGTAAAATGGAGATAATATTAATACATACCACATGAAATGACTTAATAAATGTAACAGGATTAAAGCTGTGATCAGCACATGAGAAGCATGCAATAAGTGTTCACTCTCATTAATGTCATAACTAGAGTCAGTTGCATTCTTCCGAGAGCTTAACATTCAGGCAGTGAGTTTTGTTTTGCTTTTTAATATTAGACATAATTTATTAGATATTTGCAGTTGCTAGTAGTTATGAAAAGTAATGGTGGAGAAAATCTGGGATGCGGAGAGAATGGTGGCATTTAGATGGCCTAACATTCTTTTTTTTTCAGCAGAGTTGTTAGACTACATTTGTCAGTATAGGTAAAAGCAGTTGCCCGTAAGCTAACCTCAAGTTCATCAGTAGTAACATTGAGTGATGTTTATAAGGAAGTCAGAGGGCCGCCTACTTGTTACTTTATTTTTCATGGATCTTCAGAATGACATGGTGTCTTACGTAAAGTGTATTTCTTTGATCCTTTGTTTTGTTAGGAAAATTTATTTCTAAAATGAAATAAGGTATTTTTATATTCCTGCTAACTCTTCCTATCATTCTCTTTCTCTGTTATTTAGATACCAGATGACAATTATAGCATTCCAGAGGGTGAAGAAGACCTGGCAAAAGCAATTCAGATGGTCCAAGAACAGGCTACAGATACTCAAATTTTGGTGAGAATTTTGAACACAACCATAGCCTATAGTTTAACAGCGATACTTTCTACACGAAGTTTTGAAAGTCATTTAAACTAAAAATACTTCACTTACTAGATGCAGCTCTATCACCTGACGTCTTTTTCACTTCTATTTGTTTATCATCTAACCTTCACTTTTAGTAAGTAGTCATATTTACTTTGCCTTGGATCATCATTTTCCACATGGTGTTCACTTTTGCATGACTTTGCAACAAATGACACTTTCTCTCAGAACTCTTTTTAATCTCAATAGAGTTTAAACAAGGATTTTCAGCACTTGTACAGAACTTGGTATTGTACACATATTCTACAGTCTGTTTTGTAAGCATCTGTATTTTTTGTTTTTCATGGAAGTATTTATATCACAGGAAATGCTTAATATATTATGCTTTTTTTCTTGTGAGGCTGATGAACTAATTTCACTAGAAAATATGGTGGGGATGCTTTCTGATTATAATACCACCAATTAACAGTACATGGAATGATGGCATTCCTGTAAAATTGCAAGCTCAATTAAAAATTGACAATAATGATGATAGCAAAAATATTTTTAAAGTGCTACCAATACTAATTAACACTGAAGTCATACCAATACTAATTAAGAAGGCTGCTTTTCTTCAAAAATGAAACCTTTACTGTGAAATATGAAGGAAATTATTATACTCTTATTTAGGTGCAGATTTGGCTTCCTCAATGCAAAATAGTATGTGATAGACTTCACTCCATATTCTTCCCTTTGTCAATCTTTCCATATTTTTCAGATTTGCTTGGTTCAGAAATCTAGTTACTCCTTTCCAAAATGTCTGTCCATTCAAAATTGAAAAATGCTGAAGAGGAGGATTTTTTGAATCCAGAATTGATTATATTCTAAGTGGAGGGCTTTAGCTCATAGTAAACTCTATTCTCTAATATATCCTATGGATATAGTTCCTTCTAGGTAGACGTAAAGTGAAGTCTATTATGCAGACTTTATTAGTCTGTTGGATATCTCAATGCAGTAATTTATAGGAAAGTTTTAAAACATAGCATTTTGAACGATGAGCAGTGAATAAACATATCAGTTGCATTATATGTATTACTTATCATCTTCCTTCTTGCTTTACATCATTAAGTAAAGAAGGATTAAAAAAATACTTTATGTACCACTCATTTATGTTGGTACTTGGTAACATAGATATGCCTAACACAGTGCTTGGCACATAGTAGGCACTAAATGAATAGCAGTTAAATAAATGAATAGATAAATGAATCATTGAATGAAAAAATTATGACCAAATTGTAATTGCATCTTTGTATGTGGTATCATGCTAGAAGGTGCTTGTAAATCCAAAAATAAATCCAAGAACGGCAATTGGTGAATAAATTCAACGTAGTAGCTGTCGTATCTTCTGAACTAAATATCAGTAATTCTTCTGTCATCAGTTTCTCAGCTTTCTTTTATCATAAGCTTGCAAGAGGTAACTTTCTAGATTTATGACATATTTATAGCTTGTTGACTCTCATTTAAGTTTTTATCTGTTTTTTGAGTTCTTTGGAGGAACAGTGCTATGCAGAAAATTTACAAAAGTTTCCCTTAAGCTTTTAAAATTAAATATGAATTCATTTTATGATAAGCATTTCAGTTATGTATTTCTAATTTGGTTTTTGTTTCTATAGTATTTTATCTTCAAAAACTGGCTTTGAGTTGTGCCATGGGCTTTCTGTTTTACGAATATTTATTGCTTATGAAACCCACTTCCTTTTGTTATGATTTTATTACATCTGTTTATGAGCAAGATATATTTTCTTCTATGTTAGAGGATAGTAGTAGTCTCAATTGAACAGGGACTTTTAGAAAATTCATTAAAGACTGCAAGTAAAAAAGGTCATCATTACATTAGGAATGTTGAATATAGTTGAAATTGTTGAAAAGTTGAAAGTTGGAAATAATGTAAGTAGTTTTATTGGTTAAAAAATTAACAAGGATTATTTATATAAGAGTTGACATTTAAATGAATTTTTATAATCTTCTTTAAACCTTGATAATATATATGAAAAATCTGAGAATTGATGCATGTTTTATTTCATAAATTTTAAACTTTTTATCCTATAAAAATGTTTCCTTGATAGGTGCAATGTTTCAGAACTCTGAAATAAAATATAGTTTTATCATATTTAAAGTAATTAATGAAAAAAATTAACGTAGGAAATGTTATTAATCTGTGACAAATGTGTGGTTTGGTTGTACTGTCCATTGTTTCTTGAAACTGAAGTCTTTTTTCTAAGTATAAATGTAAGTAGAAATAGGAATACAGGCACACACACACATACACACACATATTCCTTAGAAATACTTGTATGTAATTTTATGAAAGAAAGTCTACTTATATTCAAGCTGGGTTTTCCCCTCTACACTGTGAGCATATTATTGCCATTTTGGGGGGTAATTCTTTAGCTGTTTTGGTTCGTGATTTTTTTGTTTTGCTAATTTTGGAGGTAAAATCTTAAAGGTCCATTTATTGCCATAATAATATAATATTTATAAACTTATAAGTTTGATCTTTAAAGATAACAGTAGCGGAGTACCTAAATCATAGAACTGTTAAATTTCCTGACATCTTCTCTCCACCTCCTCCTCTAAGAATATAAGGCATTTCTTTGAAATAGTCAGGTGTTTCTGAAGGAGATGAATTGATAACTGAACAAAACTACTATACTGTTTAATGTATTAATCAGTAGTTCTCAAAGAATTTTACTCTAAGATATTTTCCTACATATTTATTAAGAATTACTATCAAATATTTTCATATTAAAGTTATGTTCTTATAAGAAAAACGTAGCTCAGGATTAGTTATTCCTTTCATTTATTTATTTATTTTTAACATCTTTATTGGAGTATAATTGCTTTGCAGTGGTGTGTTAGTTTCTGCTTTATAACAAAGTGCATCAGCTATACATATACTTATATCCCCATATCTCCTCCCTCTTGTGTCTCCCTCCCATCCTCCCTATCCCACCCCTCTAGGTGGTCACAAAGCACCGAGCTGATCTCCCTGTGCTATGTGGCTGCTTCTCACTAGCTATCTATTTTACATTTGGTACTATATATAAGTCCATGCCACTCTCTCACTTTGTCCCTGCTTACCCTTCCCCCTCCCCATGTCCTCAAGTCCATTCTCTACGTCTCTGTCTTTATTCCTGTCCTGCCCCTACGTTCCTCAGAACCACTTTTTTTTTTTTTTAGATTCCATATATATTTGTTAGCATATGTTATTTGTTTTTCTCTTTCTGACTTACTGCACCCTGTGTGACAGACTCTAGGTCCATCCACCTCACTACAAATAACTCAGTTTCGTTTCTTTTTATGGCTGAGTAATATTCCATTGTATATATGTGCCACATCTTCTTTATCCATTCATCTGTCAGTGGACACTTAGGTTGCTTCCATGTCCTGGCTATTGCAAATAGAGCTGCAATGAACATTGTGGTACATGACTCTTTTTGAATTATGGTTTTCTCAGGGTATATGCCCAGTAGTGGGATTGCTGGGACATATGGTAGTTCTATTTTTAGTTTTTTAAGGAACCTTCATACTGTTCTCCATAGTGGCTGTATTAATGTACATTCCCACCAACAGTGCAAGAGGGTTCCCTTTTCTCCACACCTCTCCAGCATTTATTGTTTGTAGATTTTTTGATGATGACCATTCTGACTGGTGTGAGGTGATACCTCATTGTAGTTTTGATTTGCATTTCTCTAAAGATAAGTGATATTGAGCATCCTTTCACGTGTTTGTTGGCAATCTGTATAACTTCTTTGGAGAAATGTCTATTTAGGTCTTCTGCCCATTTTTGGATTGGGTTGTTTGTTTTTTTGATATTGAGCTGCTTGTAGTATTGGAGATTAATCCTTTGTCAGTTGCTTCATTTGCAAATATTTTCTCCCATTCTGAGGGTTGTCTTTTCATCTTGTTTATGGTTTCCTTTGCTGTGCAAAAGCTTTTAAGTTTCATTAGGTCCCATTAGTTTATTTTTTGTTTTTATTTCCATTTCCCTAGGAAGTGAGTCAAAAAGAATCTTGCTGTCATTTATGTCAGAGTGTTCTGCCTATGTTTTCCTGTAAGAGTTTTATAGTGTCTGGCATTACATTTAGGTCTTTAATCCATTTGGAGTTTATTTTTGTGTATGGTGCTGGGGAGTGTTCTAATTTCATTCTTTTACATGTAGCTGTCCGGTTTTTCCAGCACCACTTATTGAAGAGGTTGTCTTTTCTTCATTGTATATTCTTGTCTCCTTTATCAAAAATAAGGTGACCATATGTGCATAGGTTTATCTCTGGGCTTTCTATCCTGTTCCATTGATCTATATTTCTGTTTTTGTGCAAGTACCATACTGTCTTGATTAGTGTAGCTTTGTAGTACAGCCTGAATTCAGGGAGCCTGATTCCTCCAACTCCGTTTTTCTCTCTCAAGACTGTTTTGGCCTTTCAGTGTCTTTTGTGTTTCCATACAAATTGTGAAATTTTTTGCTCTAGTTCTGTGATAAATGCCATTGATAGTTTGATAGGGATTGCACTGAACCTGTAGATTGCTTTGGGTACTATAGTCATTTTCACAAGGTTGATTCTTCCAGTCCAAGAACATGGTATATCTCTCCATCTCTTTGTATCATCTTTAATTTCTTTCATCAGTGTCTTATAGTTTTCTGCATACAGGTCTTTTGTCTCCTTAGGTAGGTTTATTCTTAGGTATTTTATTCTTTTTGTTGCAGTGGTAAATGGGAGTGTTTCCTTAATTTCTCTTTCAGATTTTTCATCATTAGTGTATAGGAATGCAAGAGATTTCTGTGCATTAATTTTGTATGCTGCTACTTTACCAAATTCATTGATTAGCTCTAGTAGTTTTCTGGTAGAGTCTTTAGGATTCTCTATGTATAGTATCATGTCATCTGCATGTCTCTATATATACTATCATATATAGTATCATGTCTCTATGTATAT